CCCCCCCCCCCCGCCCCGAAGTAATATCTTGATTATTATGGGCACTTGTTTTCTGAAGTGTGTCTCCAGGGCAGGAGAAATCTTTTATCACTATAGAAAAGGCTCACTCTTTGGTAACAAGCAACCCCAGTGGTATTCTCCGTAGTGGCTGCAAGCCTGTTGTGAATCAGTGTGTAGTGATGTTACAAGCAGAGTCACCAACCCTTGCCTTGGTAAAACTCCAGAAGCTACAATAAAACTGGTGTGTCTTTTAAGGTTCTTGCGGGTGAATTAAAATGATCTGAAATGGCAACTGGACGAAAGCAAAGCTGTGTGCACAGAGCCTGAAATGAGTGTGAGACCTCCCACTTTTATTTCTTCAGAGTTCAGACTGATTCTTGCTACCCAAGATGCAGCTAATTATAAACACTTTATTTTCTTGTTACAACAAAGCAGTGCTCAGTGCCCTCGGTTGCTGACTCTTGTAAAGTGCACTTCCCTGGTTGGCACTTTGGTGTTTCTTCAGATGCTTGTACTTCATCTGTGGAGACTGCAAAGGGAGTGAAAACAACGTTCTGCAAGAATTTGACTGCCTCGGTGAATGTGTAGGAACTGATAGCAAAATCTTCTCTCGAGTGTTTCCCCCTTTTCTGGCAGTGTAGATGACCTCGGTGCTGCTTATTGGAATGACTTAAAATTCTGAAGTCTGCCCCAAACTCTTCTCACTTGCATAGTCCTGAGTGACACCTGATATGGGGCCACCCAAACCAAACATCAAATTGCCAAAGGGCATTGCAGGAAAGTCAGCTGCTAAGCAGGTCTCAAAAACCATTTGGCTTGTGAATCCAGAAGTAAAACCAGAATTGAGGTCACCAACTTCAACAACCTATGATCAGAGGTTGTAATTGGAAGTGCATGTAAAAGCGTGGCACTTTTTTTGCATAGTCATTTTCTGCATTTACCCATTGTACAGTGACTTCCTTGCATCATTTTTGCTCTCAAGGTAGCAGTAGACAGTAAAAGAAAAAATTATTATAAAACTAAAAAAATGTGATGGGGCTTCAGTGATTAGTGTACTACCCAAAGCTGTTGTAATCTTTTTAATTTTAAACAGGCAAGGTTTCCAGTTGACCATGTCTGGTTTTAATTCTTGTGGTTTTAATACTGCTCTTTTGACACAGCTCAGTCAGAATTTAATTTCAGTTAAATGATACTTACAGATTTCCTTGTAGAATAGAAGGACGCAGTCCGTACTGACCCAGGAGCCCAATACTTTTAACCAAAAAAGCAGCTAACAGCTCAGCAAGTTTTTAAAATGCCTATGGATCAGTTCCAAACAGGGTGCATGTGGTGGGACATGAAGAGGTGCTAGGTACCTGGGGCCAAAGGGCAACTGCCAAAATCTGCTCTGAGTTGCTGTCTTCTCACGCAGGCACTTAAACTCTATAGGAGTCACATGCTGTACGTTAGTGATTCCCAGAGGTCCAGAGAGGTTCAAGTCCTGCCCCACTGGCAAGCACCACAGTCTTTATGGAGTTGAGGAGACAGGCATCTCCTAAAAATCCACCCAGATCCGTTAATTAGATTTCTCTCCATCACTGCCATCTCAAGGCGGTTACAGACTAAATCTAATAATTAGGTGCTACAAAAATGAGAGACACAGAAACACTGGAGCAGCTCCATGAAGTCCATCTGAAAAAGTGTTCAGGTGGGCAACAATTGCTAGATGCATTTTTGAGGAGAGCACTGAACAGAAATCATACCAACCACCACAGAAGTTCAGCAATTCCACTGGCAGAAATCCTGTTCTGGGATGGACTGTCTCCTGAGACAGTGCCGGACCCGCTGCCGGTGCCAAGGCAGAGCCTGCGCCTCCGAGTCACACTGTAAAGGTCTTTGTTGGACCAAGACAATAATGTTGCTTGTTAGCCTACAGTTGACTTAGCAAGCATCCAGGCTCCTGGGATACTATTATAAATAAATTTCAAAAATAAGCTTGAACAATTTTAACGTCAACATGGTGAAAAGCCCTCTACTTAAGATACATATTAAGGGATATGGCTTTACAGTGGCAGCACAGGTTCCAGCTTTTCACTTGAGAGCGCTCCATTCAGGGCTACATTTGTCTTATTTCTTAGTTGGCATTTGCAGATTGTCGTGGAAATACAAGCCAGGAGGGAAAACATGATGCTCTTAGATCCAGTGACTGCAAGGAAGAGCAAGAGAAGGTGTTGGCATTAAGGGTAATTTACCTACCGGAGACGGCATGTGGCACATTCTAGGCTGCTACACGATGCTTGATACAGGAGTTTTCAGCGGACTTTTAAAGAACAAAAGTTTTTTCCCAAGAAGTTGCAGGACTGGGGAGTTGCTTTGTTTTCTTCTTTTACATTTGTTTGTATTACGGTGGTGGTTACAGTACCAATAATGACAGGTCCCTTCTGCTACTTACGTTCCCATAAGCAGCTTTCATCTCTGAGAATCCAATAAAGATGTCCAGTAAAGGGACCTCCTTGTCAAGGACCACCATATTTATCTTTTCTCCATTTTAAAAGGAGCTTGGCTAAGCTGTAATGTTTTGAGCTGTGGCATAGCTCCTTGCAGCAGGAGTACGAGCTTTCTGCCTGTGAGGGTAATGCTAGGGGAAATTTGTCCCAGAATCCATTTTCTCCTAATGGTTTCTCTGTTCCAAATTTCCCTTAACCTGCTTTCTTTACTCCAGTAGCCCCTCATGTTTGGCTCTGACTTGATACAAGCTTTTTAAAAATATACGCTTAAGTATGAAAAATGTGAAAATATACAAGTCCAAGGTAAGGACTGTTTCAGACTTCTACCTGACCTAGCAGGGGGTCTATTCACGGTAAAGAGGGGGAAAAAAACCCAAAAGTCAGTCATTGTTGATAATGGGTGAATCTTGTTCTGCACTCCTGCCTTTCCAGTGGGATCCCTCTACAGCAGGGTGACTCCAGGGGAACACCATCTCCAACTTAGAGACAACCTCCTCAGGTACTCAGGGTATGGAGTCTTCTGCAACAGACTCACAGTATACTTTTGCCCAAGCTGGAAGGCTAAACATTTTCTTCCATAGCTGGGAGCGGATGCAGGAAGAGGCATCTGATGTCAATAAAGGAGTCTTCTCCCTTTGCAGACATATCTCCATAGTGAAGTAGTCCAGCCTCCATCTTCTCCAAAAGCCAGCACAGCGTTTCCGCATGGCTGTCTCCGAAGTGCCCCGGCATCGTTGTCCAGGGCAACTCTCAAGCCCAGCTGCATATTCTGGCACTGCTGCACTTGTAAATGAATACAGCAAAAATATAGTTGCAGCAAAGCACACTGGAACGAGCAATGGGCTGGTTTCTAAGCAGCAATAGCCAGTCTAGCACACACAGTCATGCAGACGGCTTGAATTCACAAGCAGCCTGAAGATTTGCACTCCCCAGCACAGCCAACTCAAGTGTATAAATCACCATAACAGCTTTGCATTCCCCTGGCACGGGGTGTCTGCCTCTCCCCAGGCTGCCCGCACCAGCTGTTGTGCAGTACTGTTCAGGGCTGGGATTACAACGTTTGACTGAGTGCCCAAGCCTTAGTCATGTTTTTGCTGCGGAAGCATCGACAGCAGTAGCCATAACCTGGCATAAAGCCAGAGCCTGGGTGGCTGTGTTGTGCCTTAGAGCAGGGACATTAGCACTAACCTCATGCCAGTATCGATGAAACAATTTAAGCTTTAATTAATGGTCGTGTGTATTTGCTGCTGCCGCTGACAGGGATGTGTTCTGCAGCACTTCGGTGCTGTTGGTGGTGGGTGGGAGTTACGCGTGGTGCATGTTCCAAGTTAATTGACTTAAACACTTCCTTAACACCCACCACTATATGTAATTCCAATTACAATGTTTAACATTCGTATTTTACAGGTCTTGTAGCATAGTATGTTTCCACTGGCATCGTCACAGTTCTGAGGGCTGCCAGCAAACATATCACAGCACAGTCAAAGTGCCCTTCAATATTTATCAGTAAAAAACAAATACAGTCATTACATTTAGAAACATAGGCGTATTTCTGATCTTTGCGAGGGTGTGTTGGTGGATTAAGCCATCACTCTTGCACAAAGTGTCCCCATAGCTGTTGGAGTAAGACTTCAGTGGGAGGGCTGGAGGAGGGAGTCCCAGCTGGGTTACTCTTTGCTTCTGTGAAGCAAAACTGCAGCTGCCTGCACTCCCAAGATGAACGCTTCTTGGCAGCAAACTATGCAAGGTCTGAAGAACAAGTCTGATGAGGAGTGGCTGAGGGAACTGGGGTTGTTTAGCCTGGAGAAGAGGAGGCTGAGGGGAGACCTTATTGCTCTCTACAACTACCTGAAAGAAGGCTGTAGTGAGGTGGGTGTTGGTCTCTTCTCCCAAGTAGCTAGCGATAGGACAAGAGGAAATGGCCTCAAGCTGCCTCAGGGGAGGTTTAGATTGGATATTAGGAAAAATTTCTTTACTGAAAGAGTGGACAAGCATTGGAACAGGCTGCCCAGAGAGGTGGTGGAGTCACCATCCCTGGAGGTATTAAAAAAAAACGTGTAGAGGTGGCACTTTGGAACATGGTTTAGTAGGCATGGTGGTATTGGGTTGATGGTTGGGCTGATGAGCTTAGAGATCCTTTCCAACCTTAATGATTCCTAGTTTTACTTTCATTAAAAAATAATCCAGCCACCAAGCCAGGAAACATGCAATTAATTACTACTCTACCTTTAATTGGTTTAGTGGTGGAGTTGGTAGTGTTAGGTCAATGGCTGGACTTGATAATCTTAGAGGTCTTTTCTAACATAAACAATTCTATGATTCTTCTGTGTAGTTACAGTCCTCTGCTGTATCTTCTCTACTACACAAAGCTGAAGTGACTCCAAGTCATCCTTTTTGAAAAGTTTTCCCCATGTATTTTTATGTCTTCCAAGTATGTATGTTATGCATTTGTATGTGTCAGGTAACAGACAGAATTAAGGTAATTTATGTAGCCAATCTATGCATTTCCCACTTTGCAAGTTCCAAGGGTAGAGATCAACATAACTTGAAATGGCCTCATTTTCACCTATATATAACTGCTTTAGTAATGTTTTAGCTCAGATTGGTCTATACCCCATTACAGAACTTTGTAAAAGAGAATTATATCCAACTTTTTTTCAGTGGAAAATGACCCCCTTGGGTTTGGTTGGGATGCATTGTGGTTTGCGATGCAAAATTGAATTTTCATTTTTGCTTTAGTTTCACATTATTTAAACAATTCAAGTTATACCATAAGAGTCAGAAGTTCTTAAACTCTTCTTATTAAATTTAAGCACTTTCACATTATTTAATTCTAGTGTCCTGTGGATAAGCCTTCCTGAGTCACCGAACTGCAATATTCATTTATCTTGCTTGACTTTGTGCAGATAATAGTTCCTCAGGGAAAAGAACAGATGATAAAAATGGGAATGGCATAATTGTGCCAAAGAGAGATCAGTTTGGAGGTGGTCGTCCAGTCCCAGAAACAGGTAAGACTGACCATGTGAATTAATTTTGAATTATGTTAGTTTTTTCAGGCAGGTGCTATAGATCATTGAATAGTATCACATTCATATAGTACATTGAATAATGTACTTCCATATTCTGAACTGTTCCTAACTTGTATGATCATACAGTTTAGTTTCTCAGCATGAGTTGCTCCAAATGTAGCACCTACATGATAGACTAGCTGAAAAATTTCAGGTTTTCTCTACCGATTTCTCACTGTATTAAATAAAGCATAATTTCTTTTAACCTCGTTGTAGGTGCTGTGTTACCCTTAGCCTTAGGCTTGGCCATCACTGCTTTACTGCTGCTTATGGTTGCTTGCAGACTGCGTTTAGTGAGACAGAAGCTTAAAAAAGCTCGACCCATTACATCTGAAGAGTCTGATTACCTCATCAATGGGATGTATCTCTAAAAATTGGATCTAGTCAGTTGTTTTCTCCGCTTTCTCCTGTGTCCATGAACCTCTGCCTCTATAAAAGGACCAAAATCTTTAGTTAAGTTTCAAGTGGAGAAGCAGCCTACGAGATGAGGAACATGTTCTTCCCCTTTGGTGATAAAATTCAAAAGTGGGTAGATGCCCGTGCTCAGAAAATAAGAAACGTTCAGGCTCCAGGGCGTAGCTCCAGTTGGCTGTTGTGCAGAAGGCATGGCAAGGTGGGGACACCCCAGACTGGATGCGGGGTGCCCTTGCCCTCCCCACAGCAGCCGGGGCCCCGGCCGCAGCAGAGCGTGCCCCAGGG